AGGTAAAGTCTAAAGGTTTGATATATCTACAAAGTATGAAGAATATAAGAGTTAATGACAATCATGATTGTTCAAGCGAAGATCGACTGAAGGATTTATGACTCACTCATAAGCAACAAATGAGTTCTATAAACAATGAAAGGAAGCATACGATGAGCATAGTAGATTCTTGACAAATGTATGTGAGAAAATTAACATTGATTGTAGTCATTATGATAGTAAAAGATAAGCTACACATACACACATCAATCTCTTATAGATTATTGAGATCTTCTTGCAACGAGTTTAACGAATCAATAGAAAATAAGAAGGGGGAAAGTGTCATGAATACAACTTACCCAGAGATCTATCATGAAAGAAGATATATCTATCTCCATCAAGAAGAAGAATCAGATATGTAACGGATACAACTTTCTTGAAAACAAAGATCAAACTGAAAGGATAACAAGTGCTTGCAATCAATCGATAACATAAGAGTTCTCAATAAATCTTGGAGATCTTTACGCAAATCAAAATTCAAAGAGTGTCAAAGGCATTTAGCAGATGAAACCACTGTTGTAAAATAATTCAAAAATCAATAGCAAGAGGCAAACAAACACATTAATTCACTTACAATCAATAATATTATGTTTTCATCCAATACTAATAAATTATCAGGCACACAAAGAAATGTTATCACCTGTATACAAAGTAAAACAACAAATCCCTGATGAATTTGAACTCCTACTAATCACTGTAGGAAGCATCTTCTATGAAGTATGGTGTTTGTGGGTAATAGTGAAAGATCTGCAATACATACAAGCTCTCTACGAAGATAGATATACGTGCCACATGCCACTTGTAGGTAGATGCATAAATACTTCAGTAAATGTAGTATCCTGAAGTTAATTTTAGTATGTGAAAGAATATATATACTTGCCTACTTGTAACAGTGGTGAATGTATTACATGAGCTAAAGATCACAACAAAGTGCATGAAGAATACAATAGATACAAGCTCCCACGAGCTTCTATTGGAGCCCTGCTACGAGTATTACATACCATCTATGAACGAATGCCAAAGAACTACAATGAATGAAAGCATTAACAAACACAAAGTATGAAATTAGTTAGTGCACTACAATTTACCTACGTAAATCATGCAAGTAGTGCATGACAGTCTACCTGTACAAAGAAGCAAATAACTAATCCAGAAGCTACTACTTCACGCCATTGAATCCGTAACTTATATGCAAGTGGACAGAAGGTGTCTACAAATACTTTCAAAGTACCCCCGCACGTGCACCATAGTTTATATACACATAGGTGCACTAAAAGGGGTAAAAGCAATCATAAAACCCGCATGGGCCCCGACGAGTGTATTATTGGTATACACGTGACGTCTAGAGATGCTGTGTGGGTTAATAAAGTTGAACCCGATCCTTCTAAGCAGGTAGGTTGGAGTCGACAAGGTTCAACAAATGATTACAAAATGCCCCCAAATACCTGCATGGGCCTCGACAAGCGTGTTATTGGTACACATGTGATGTCTAGGGATGCTGCGTATATCGATAAGTGAATTCAAGTTCGAACCCGATCCTCCTATACGGATCAATAGGAGTCGACAGGGTTTGAACCTTCAAACAAATATATAGTTTTGGCAGCCGATGTATTTATTTTAATACATTCATATAGACCTATAACAATGAGAATTCACTAATAAAGGTAGAAAGCCTACAAAATTTGATCCCTCATCGACAAGTTGATATGGTCGATAAGGTTTAATACAAAAATAAAAATGACCTCCTTCACCTTGATGATGGTCATGTTGAATGCAAATATCAACCGGAGGGGTCCATTACGAATATTTCAATAATTCCCCTTAAATACCCACAAAAATCCAAAAAATCTCAAAGTCCCAAAATTCTAAGAAAATTTTAAAATTGAAATAATCCATCAAAACACTTAAAGAAAAATCCATTCACCCTCCGGAATAGTTTGCCGAGGTGGACAAATTAAAATTTATTTTAGCTCACATAGAGCTAATGCCTAGTCGAAAATATCACTATGATCCATTCTCAAACAATCTTCTGCCAGTAAGGACGTAGTATGTGTTCTCTGACCGGCGGTTTTGCTGCCAAATGGCACCGCAGGATAAATGGTTATGACCCGGTGCCCTTTAAACCGAGTGATTTTGCCACCAAATGGCACCACAAAATACCGGTTAATGGCCAGAGCCAATATGCTCCTTAGTGGCATCAAATCCTTGAGATATGAATCAATAGGATATAATTGATAGGGACAAAGCCCTCTGTTAGCTAAGGTGAATTCAAAATTGTCCCCTTAGGCAAATACCCACCCCAGGTCTACAAGGTCCTCTTAGACGAAGCAACCCATGGCTGCCGACAAGGATCCTTCTGTCAGGTTGGGTCGACTACCTCCTTTGACTAAGTAGACCAGGGACCACAATGGCCTGGGATGACAAAACCATGGGATCTTGATCGGGTTTATCATCCATTCTCTCACCATCCGCTTTAGGTGCAAATGGTGCAATTTCAAATTTTAAATATCAAACCTCCAAATTCTCAACCATTTCCAAACTCTTCAAATACCAATGCCCATTACTGCTACTATATGCCAGATACCACATATTTTTTATGCATCTGATTGATGACTAGCCTTAATCGAAAGTTCTCTCTCGTGATCGGGAGGGATAATTAACTATAGGGGCTTGCGCCTATAGGAAACCATAACTCAAATCATAAAGTCCTCGCAAAATGAGGGCGAAATCTCTGGGTAGTGTCTTTTCTACAAACCCATCTGCCTTCCAAAATTTACCCCATAACTTATCCGTTAAAACTCCCTCGCTAAAGAAAAAAAGCATCAGTGCGGGCAGAGGCCGGGGCCCACATCCCCACAACACCAACTCACTTATCAGGATTCTTAAGCGATCCAAGGCTCCAACATAAGTCATCATCTGCTCTAGGGAACCTACTAAACACATTCCCATTCAACTTGGTACCTGCCAATGTGATCTCCCATTTGAACTTATCCATACATACTTTGCACTACTGAACTAGTCCAGGGGTAGATCGTCAAGGCTATACGACACAATCTCCTTTAATTAAGCCAATTATGAGGTGACACATATCTAGGGTATTATGCACTGAGAGTCATCAAATTATTGTATTTTTTTAAATCTTCTTTTAGATGTGACATTTCTTGTAACCCTCATATATCTGTACATAAAATGTGAATAAAAACATTTGCGATATTTTGGACTATTTGAGATCTTTTAGCTTCTTCAGCTCTTGGACTCGAGATCTTCGATAGTGGATTCTTATTTCCATTCTCATATAAATTCAAGGCTTATTTTCTTCTAGTTAACTTGCTAGTTGGTCATATATCATCAACAAATAGATTTGGATCCAAAAGGACTCAAGATTCTAAAAAAAAAAATAAACGATTACAGAATATATTACTTGTAAATTTTTCATGTTAATTATAGAATAATGTTAATAAAATCAAGCAGCTCTAAAATTTCATCCAAATAAATTAAGCCATGGATTTATGGTAGATCCCACACCCTTTTGTTCTCAACAATATACAAATAAAAAATAAATAAATAAATTCTTATGAATTTTGAGGCAGATAAGTATAAATGATGAAAAGATTAATAATAATAATAATAATAATAATAATAATAATAATAATAATAATAATAATAATAATTAAAAAGGTATTATAAGTCCCAATCCATTGTCCTCTATAGTATAATATATCATTCAAACTTTTGCAATATAGTAACTTATCTCTTTGATACTTAAGAACCACTTGATATATTATTATTGTTATTACACTAAAGTTTGCCTAAAATATTTTACGTAGTATGATTTTTAAACTCTAGCAGTCATTTCTTTTAAACAAGATATTCAACTTACCTCATCCACTTCTATTGCCATCGGTGGGATATCATTTACATCGGCCAGTCGTTCCCCAACATCTATGTAGACACCGCCCACATAACTATCAAGGAGCGAATGACAACAAGGTTGTCATGACGATTTTAATGAAAGCCATTTGTCAATATAGCAAAAATGGAACCCATGGTTACAAGTCGGCAGTAGCCGAAACTTCTCTCCTTGGATAAACTCAACAAGGCAAATTGGGCATTCAATCGTCGATATGTTTGTGCTAGAATCGTAGATTGCTATCAGGATCTGCCTCATGCCGCTCTTTTTCAATCCTATTGTTGCCAATTGTGCCACCATTGCCTTCGTAGTCTCAAACAGGAGCCACTGAACCCAAGGTTGAGTGAAACAAATAAGTGAGCATAACTCTATCACGCATATTAGTGTGTAAAGGAGAAATCACATAGGACATCTCATATTATTCTAGGGAGGGCAATAGAGTGGCAGATGTTTGTTCTAGTTATGCCCTCTTGGGAGATTTTTATTGGATACTTTTATTTATGCAGAGCTTCCTTCAAGCATTGTTGATTTGTTTAGGAAAGAATGTGATAGATTTTCTATCACGTAGGTTGGTTTGTACCTTTCTTTTCTCTTGTTCAAATGCTATTGCATATCTTCAAAATTAAATCTCTTGATAATTTCTGGTTAATATAAATAATTTATTTGGAGATTGATTGGCTGATACATTTTTAATTTTAATTTAAAATTTTAATAATTAATAATATGATTTTCAAGAACATCTTATAGAAGTTGAAATAAAAATAATTGGTATTATCTTACTGAAAAAAGAATCTCTTGGATTTTTTTTTTTTGAGAAATTTAATGGCCAGGACCAAATATTTCATTTAGAACTATCTCCAAACATGAACAAGCTAATGTTAAACAAACACAAACATGAACACTCACATACTCGGCTCGGCTCGGTTCGTTTGCAGCCCTAACAGCTAATGATAAGAAGTTATAGATTTTTCATGCCCGATTGACTGTAGCTTTTCTCGCTGACGTTCTTGAAAATCTGTAACAAAGTAGGTCTAATAAAAATTCCTCAGCAAATAAGAAGAGGTGATTTGGGGTTTCATTGTTCGAATTACAGAAAATACATTGAGCGTACACAACAATATTCCTTGTAATACCATGAGCCATGAATAAGAGTAACGCAGGGCAAATTTTTTGTGCGAAATAAAATTATTCCATAGAAACCTTACTATTGTTTTTGTAAAAAATGATAATATCAAAGTATACTTTTTTGTAAGGTTTCTAGAAAGAGATTTACTTGTTAATGAACCAAGAAGCCAGCATGCCTTCCCTTGTTAAGTTCTCCAAAGTATACCAACACAGCAAGCATCACGAAGGGCTTGTAGAGATAGCTTCATCTTTTTCTTTTCAACATGCCCATCATCAATCCTATAATAGAGAATTGACACCTTTTACTATTTTTACTATTTCTACATCATGTATAGGCTAAAATTAGAAAAACTTGATCATCTCATAATTGACATTCCCAGTGATATAGCAAGATTAAACTCAATTCGGCTCTTACAACTGATTATTGATAGAAAGCAAGAAATAGGATTGAGTGCTTCAACTCTCTTCCAGCTTGTGGAACTTTTAAGGACAAGAAAAAAGAGCCAGCCAATCATATCTGTACGATCTTGGCCTGATATGTTAATCCTTTATGGTTTACCGTACAAAAGATAAACTAGAGCTTAGCTTTATAAATGCAAAACGTGAATAAATAAAACAAGAATAAACCCTTAGGATCCGTTTGGGATGATTTTTTTATTGTTTCTTAAAACGGGATTTTAGTACAAAAATTTTTAAGAAGCAATAAAAAAACCGTTCCAAAAGAAACCTTAATGTAAAAATTCTGCAAGAAAATGTAAACTTTGGAAAGAGAAAAACAGTAATCCCACGCAATACACATACAAGAATCATGCTCCCAGTAAATGAATTCATACAAGATAAAGGAATATGAAAAAAAATTCTCTCTTTGCATAAGGCAAACACTTGAAATCCAAAACAGGAGAAACAAATGTAAATTATACTTTAAAGGAATCAAAGAATTCATGGAAGAGGAACGAGAAATGAAAAAAAAAAAAAAAAAAAAAAAAAAAAAAAAAAAAAAAGATCAAAGCTCATCTTCCCTGAACAAGGCCACTGAAAACTTGGCTATTTCCGGCCAAGGTGGCCTCCCATTCCACAGATGACAATAAAATATGAGAGAGAGAAATCACAACTTGCTTCATGTCTGGACGCAGAATAGGGTCTTCATCCACACATTCCTTCGCCAACACAGCCATCTGATTATAATGCAAAGTATCCGGTGGTTAGGAGAGAGAATATATTTTGTTTTGTGGGTAAATCAATTTTGCAGAATGAAGCAATAAATAAAAGGAAAAATTTGATATACTAGTATATATAACTCAATATAAACAATGGATACTACATTCATAGTTGGGTTTTTAAACTAATAATCAAGAGTGTAAGATCATTAGAAACATGAATTATTGGTATTGAAAAACATGCCCTATTTTACATAAACTCAACTAATGTTAAAAAGGAGGAAAGGCTATAGCCATAACTGCAGAAGTTTTAGGCAACGTGATGTTATAGTTTTAACATGTGTACATTATATATATATATATCAAAGGGACACTTCAAAGGTGCCATAATAGACCTCCTTAATGAATATTCTTCAATTGAAAAATGATTGAAATGCATTTAAGCAAAAATATGGCTGTTCCGGCTATGTAGTAATCAAATAGAATTTAGTACAGGATGTCAACAATTTTTTTTGTTTAAACACTCTGACCAGTCCTACCTTCAAATCTGTCATAAAAAAAATACTAATACAATTTTCTTAGGGGTTACCATGACAAAAAATCATCATTATCATCAGCCTTATCTCAATTACTTAAGGAAGGTTTATGATTTTTCATTTAGTTTTGTTTCTTATATTCTCCTATCGTTACATTCTCTTTTTCTTCTTAATGAGAAGGGACAAGTCTCTAACTTCTTAGTTAAAAAAGAGAAAATATCACATAATCTTATGTGAAATTAGATATAACATCAATGATAATAATAGAACAAAAACCTTTGACAGTATTAAACAAAAATGCATTTGCAATAATGTGGCTTAATGACTTTATAAAACACAAACTTTATATACAGCAAAGGTGAAGTGAAAAGAACTCAATATTTTGAAACAAGAGCATCTTCTGAAAATTGTAACCAAATTTTCTTCTAGGCAATTACATCTTCTCGGAATCGTTTATTCTTACAAATCTGAAAGCTGGACTCTCAAAAGAAAACAAATAAATGCTACGAGAAACCAATATATTTCATAATACCATCTCCATTTAACATTATGACTAATTACCACAAACTTAGCCAACTTTTACCTTATAAACACAATCGTGCGGATATAAATCCTTCAAACTAGGATCAATGTATGCTTTCAAGCTTGCCATGCTAGTTGAACTTGGAGCTTTCTTCAGAGCTGCAAGCATCTAAAAAATTAAAATATTAAATGCTTCCAATCAGTCGTACCAGAGATAAAGTGTCTTTTACTCTAAAAATGCAAACCAAACAGGCAATAGATTACAAAAGTATTTTGCATGTTTTAAAGTTTAGCCTAGCATACAGAAGCATGCAAAATTGTTTATATTGACTATAATCATAGAAATTAATGAACATCGAATGATCATTTTGCTGCAAATCAGTTTTTTTAACTACAGGGCTTTTAGCTTATGAAATGTTCTTGGCAAAGCTCACTTTAATCCGATTCCAATATTTTTTTATGGCTTAAGATGAAGTCATATCCATTCAGCGAAAAGGGTTCTGAAGCCATATCAATTAAGGTAAATTTGAAGACCAAAAGTCAAAATACATTGCATACTAGATATTCACTCATACCATATTCATATCCATTTCAGGAAAAAAATAAATTCTTGTTCAATTCCACTATTTTCCTATGAATCACGATACTCTCTCTTCTATCATCAACAATCATTAATATAGTCGTTTATCATCACGCTGAATTAGCTGATTGATATGCCCGGCATTATGAACAAAATAAAACTATTAAAAATGACCTTCCAAGATGAGTTTGCAACATGCTTAGGGTGCAAAAAGTGCATAAGGACTATATTTCAAATAAAATGAGTAACAACTATACAAGATGAGGTTTGTATTTAGATAATTAATGCATTGTATCTGTAAAAGAGATGGCCGTGACTAGTGGTCACCTCAACGGTGGGGACAAAGATGGAGTATGAGGGTCGTTACGAGCAAGTGAAGGCGACCAAGGAAGGTTCATGTATTTTGTGTTTCAGTTTAGTGTAGTCAGAGACCGAGTGTTAGTGAGCAGTGGAGGGGTTTTGTTTTGGTGCAAAAAAGGGAAAGAGAGCTATGTTGCTGCGATCAATGAAAGAGATAGCATTAAAACTGATCGTTAACAATTTAACATTATGTAATGTAGAGTGAGAAAGTCTGAAATTACTAAAAAAGTTTGAAGCAGTTAAAAATAAATTGGGTAAGTAAAATTTCTTTTGATGAAAAGAGAGGCTTATAATTTCAATATGAGTTAATTAAATTGTTCGATGAAGTCTGACAACAAAGAAGATGAGAATGCGTTGGATAGTATGATCACGTGCAACGAAGAAGATGAATAATTGGAGGTAAAATTTGGAACTTATTTATATATTATTTTGATTAATATTTCATATAATATAATAAGCAATACAAACATAAAATAATAATTTGGTTTGTTTGATATTGCCTTTAGTGACGTTTGATATGTTTGACATTATCTTTGATGATGTTCGATGCGTCAACATTACTTTGACAATGTTCGATGCGTCAACATTACTTTGACGATGTTCGACATCTCCAATGTTGTTTTGATATAATTTAATATCTTAATATAATTTAAACAAAGAATTGGAGACAAGAATTTCTTTTGAAAATCTAAGGGTTAAGTGCGCTATTCAAAATTTAATTAAAAATTATATCATAAATATAATTCTAAACTGCCAACATAGATTGATATAATTATATCTTTGATGATTAAGTTGCACCCTAAAGAATGCAAACTAATAGTTTATAGAACTTACAAGTGATCAAATTGAGAAGAAGCAAAGTGAAATCACCGTTGTGCTCTCCCTTGCGATTTTTGGGCGATCTAGGGCTTCCATTCGGAAGTTGGCGTTCGGTCGGTGGATCTTGGCCTTCTGGCTCCCTGGTTTGGTTTCTCGCTTACTGTTTGTATTATCTGGCTTTTTTCTGAGCTTTTCGCAATCTAGTTTGGTGTTCTCCTCAGTTTTCTCTTCGGGAGATGACGACCCCATCGTCATCAACCCCTCCGATAACTTCCATCCCTGAGGGTCGTTCTCGGTCCTTCAAGGATGTTGTTTCTGGTTCCTCATCTACTCCTAAACTCCACTTTGTGCATTCCTCTTTTAAGGGGTGCCCAACACTTTTGTTCGATGATGTGGTTGTTTCACAGTTAGCCGCTCCTTTTGTTCTTACTCTTGTTGGTAAATTTCTCTTACGTTGCCCTAATCTGGATGTGATTCGAAAATTTTTTGGTAGTTTGAAATTATATGGTGCTTTTCACGTTGGCTTGCTGGACCCTCATCATGTGGCTATCCAGTTAACGAACGACATGGATTATAGTCGTATCTTTGCGCGAAGGTCCTACTATATTCAAGCTTGTCAAATGCAAATCCTCAAGTGGACGCCTAACTTTGATGTGAGGGAAGAATCGCCTATTGCGCCTGTGTGAATTTCTTTTTCCAACTTAAGATTGCACTTTTTTAATTCCCAAATTTTGTTTGGCCTTGCTTCGATTTTTGGGAGACCTTTACAAACTGATCAGGCCACTGCTTCTATATCCCGACCCTCTGTGGCTCGGGTTCTTGTGGGACTGGTTGTTTCTAAAAAGCATCCGATTGAAGTGTGGATAGGTTCAGAGCTTAATGGTTAATTCCAAAAAGTGGATTTTAGAAACTTGCCTATTTTTTGCACTCATTGTAAAATGCATGGGCATGATTTTAGTGAATGTTTTAGGTTGCATCCCCACCTCCGCAAAGATAAAGCTGTCACTAAACAATATCAACGAAAATAGTGTACTCTTGTTCAAGAAGTTAATTTGCTTGTTGTTGAAACGGAAGGGAATGTTTCTAGGTTGGATGATGCTCCTATACCTCTGGATGTTGGTTCATTACCTTTAGTGATTGAACATTCGGACCCTATTAATGCGGACTATTTATGATAACATGTTGGGTTTTAATGAGGACTTGATTGAAAAGGAAAATGTTGATCTTGGTCTTAATAACAATGTAAATGAGGATGATGAATTGTTGGAGGAAGGTGAGCTTTCTCAAAAGGGTAAGGAAAAACATGGTATTGCTGACTGTAAGTCCCCCTCTTCCTCCCAGCATACTCTTGATGATCTTACTAATAATAAGGAATTAGAATTTTCTGCAAAATGTTATGCTAAATATGACAATGATATTTGCTTTATTAAAGTTCAAAGTAAATGTGGTAGGAAAAGTAAGAACCTTGTTTTACAATTGGGTAGAAATACTTGATCACATACTAGTCGGTAATTTTTGTTATTTATGTTTAAATCGATTATTTGGAACATTTGAAGTATTGGATGTTCTTCATCTCGATTGCAGGTTAATAACCTTTGTTGTATACATAATATTTCTATTTTAGTATTACTTGAGCCTCTAGTCAATATATCTAATTTGATTAGTACTACTAGATTTCTTGGTTTTAAACATGCTTTTGCTAATTGTGCGAATAAGATTTGGGTGTTTTGGAAAGATCCTATTCGTATTGACATTCTTGGTAACTTTACTCAAGTGTTGCATTGTAATATTGAAGTTTTAAATCTCAATTGTTGTGCTTCTTTCATTTATGCTGCTTTTTCTCGTGGTATTTGTAAAGTTCTTTGGGAGCAATTGCTTGATTTTCATAGCATTTGTACGTTTTCTTGGTTGGTGGGTGGTGATTTTAATACCATCTCTAACCCTTCGGAACGTATTGGGGGAGTTTCTCCTAATTCTCATTATATGGAAGATTTTAATAATATGATTCTGGATTGTAATCTTATTGACATTGGCTTCTCGGGTAACCAGTTTACTTGGAACAGAGGGCATTTATGACAAAGGTTGGATCGCATTTTATTTAATGACAATTGGATTAATTCTTTTAGTTCCATTTCTATTGAGCATCTTAGTCGTACTCTTTCTGATCATTCTCCTTTACTTCTTGCGCTTAATACGAGACAAGTGAATTCTTTTTCTCAATTTCATTTCAAAAATATGTGGCTTCAACATGATTCTTTTCTGAATATTGTTCAGGATAATTGGAATGCGCAGCTGCACCCTGATAATTCCATTTTTGGTATGAATAGGCTCTAGTTTAAGTTGAAAAGACTTAAACTGGTGGAACCATAATGTTTTTAAAAATATCTTTACTAATATTTTAAATGCTAAAGAGAATGTCAATAATGTTAATTTTAACTGTCAAAGTTTTCCTTATGATGCTAATTTTACCTTACTTAAAGAGGTTAAGGCTAATCTCTTTAAAATTTATGCTCAAGAGAAAACCTTTTGGAAACAAAAGGCTGCTGCTAAGCACATGTTGGAAGGTGATAATAATACGAAGTATTTTCATGCTCTGGTCAAAAGGAAACGTATTTCGAATTATATTAATAAAATTTCTCGTGAGGATGGTTCTATTATTGAGGATATTGAGGAGATTGCCATGTTGGCTGTTCAACACTTTTAGGTTAGGCTCAATAAGGTTTTTATCCCTAGTAATATTTCTAACCCTGCTATTATCTCTAATATCATCTCGGTGGAGGAGAATTCTTCTCTTTCTAGAATTCCTTCTTTAGATGAATTAAAAGATATTGTTTTTGGTATGAATGAAAAATCTATGGTTGGTCCTGATGGATTTACTAAATTTTTTCAAAAAACTTGGGATATCATTAAAGAGGATCTTTATGCTGCGGTTCTAGATTTTTTTGCTGGTCATACTATGCCTAAATTTTTCTCCTATACTTTTATTGTTCTTATCCATAAGAATAATAATGCTAATAATGGGAATGATTTCAGACCTATTAGTCTTTGCACTTTTTTCAATAAACTTCTTTCCAAAATTTTTATGTCCCGACTTAGTTCTGTTCTTCCTAAACTTATTTCTCCTTTCCAAATGGGATTTGTTAAAGGATGCAATATTTCTGACAATATCTTGCTTGCCCAGGAATTCTGCCATGATTTGGAGGTCAAGGTGAGGGGTGGCAATTCTATCCTCAAGCTTGATATCTCCAAAGCCTATGATAATATTAGTTGACAATTCATCTATAATATCATGCGACTGTTTGGTTTTAATTTAACTTTTATTAACCTTATTAGAAACTGCATTGAAGGTTCTTGTTTTTCTTTCATTATCAACTGTAAGAGCTCTGATTTTTTTAAATCATCTCATGGTT